CGATAGTGAGCTTAAAGTGAACTATGCATTTGTGTCGTGCTGAGTTTCTAAAAAGTGTACTTGGCCAAGATCTGATATACAGTGCTTACGGGGTTAAGACGAAGAATCATGATGACTCCTTGATTGAGACTGTGGAGCACGGGGTTGAAGCAGGAGTTGCCGCAATGAATCCTGGCCAGTTCCTCGTCGATATCTTCCCCATAAGTAAGACGGAAGGCTCTAGTCTGGCAAAAAGACTTGCTAACGGAATGGCATCACTTACAGTGAAATATATCCCAGCATGGTTCCCCGGTGCAGGGTTCCAGCGGAAAGCGAAGGTATAGCGTGAGTCTGTTCACAAGATGGTCCATGTGCCATTTACGCTGGCAAAAAATCTGCATGTGCGCCTTTTCTGCCAGGAGCTCCGTAATATAATTTCCTGAGCATACTAGCATGCAGGATGCCAGCGAGCTGCCCGATGACTGCGCGGCAAAAGCCTTTCTGGCTGATGTTATCCCCTCTTCCTCCGATCCCGCATACATGGAATACGTTGTCCGTTCGGCCCTGGCAGGAGCATATGCAGGTGAGTATGCTCACTCAAAATAAGCCAGCCCAGCGCTGAATACACTCGTAGCTGGTACCGACACGGCAAGCGCTTGTTTTCCAACCAATGTTCGAAAATATTGACTCGTTCCTCATGCAGACCGTGTCCGCTCTCCAGTCGTTCTTCCTCGCCATGACACTCTACCCTGACGTGCAGAAGGAGGCCCAGCGCGAGATCGACAGCGTGTGCCACGGACGCCTGCCCGACTTCTCGGACTACGAATCCCTGCCGTACGTGCACACCATTGTCAAGGAGATTCTGCGGTGGAACCCCGCCGTGCCGCTCAGTTAGTGCCTCTACACGACCGCCTGACGATAGCTGCGTACTCACAGTCCCACAGACATTGTGCACACCTCCGCGCAAGACGACGTTTACGGAGGCTACTACATCCCGAAAGGCTCGCTCGTCGTGGCCAACATCTGGTGTGCACCCTTCCTTTCTTTAACTTTAACCTCGTCCCAGGCGCTCACTGCGAACGCTGCAGGGCGATATTACATGATCCAGCCGTCTACGCCGACCCCGAGTCCTTCCGCCCCTCCCGCTTCCTGCGCAGCCACACGAACCCCACTCCAGAGCCAGACCCCGACGCTGCCTACGGCTTCGGCAGGCGCATCTGCGTGGGGCGGCACCTGGCACACGAGATGCTGTGGATCACCATTGCGTCGGTGCTCGCGGCGTTCGACATTGTGAAGGCGAAGGATGATGCCGGGCGCGAGATTGTGCCGCCAGGAGAGTATTACCACGGGTTTATGCAGTGCGTTGCACCCCTTTTCTGTCGTTACCGGTATTTTTTACTGGGGCTGACTGACTGCGGTGGACAGGTTGCCAAAGCCGTTTCGGTGCGAGATACGCCCTCGATCCGTGGAGCACGAGAAGCTTGTGTTGGGTGCCGTCGATAAAGACTCGTGAATGTACTGCATCGCATGCAGAGTGTGTTCTGGTGCGCCGGCGTGTCAAGGTGTATGCGCCACCATGGTAGTGGTACTAGTAGATGGGCGCAGCTGCAGCCATTGCTGCCGCTAAGCGAGACTTTGCAGATCGCATCGGAGCCATGCAATTTGACGTTATGGAAAGACAAAACGACATACACCCTAAGATACTTCACGACTGAAAGCGATACAGTCCGGCGCAGGATCAGAACAAACGATACACAGTATTCTATACCCTACGACGACATAACAGCAATTCTGTGCGTTTTCTCAAAAAGAACTGTGCTTGAGCTTGACGAGCCGCCCTCTGCAAGAACTTGTATATCCTCAGCGTCCTCCGTCAATAATTTTACTCACATCTTTGGGAAAATATCCTCTGTGAGCCAAAACTTGGTGTGTGGTGCTTAAATGCTTGTACAACATATTATTACTGTATCAAAAATGTATTTATGTTGTTTTTCTACGTTTCCCGCTGTAAGCGGAGGGCGTCTGCTAACCACCACGCGTCGCGGGTGCAGCGGTGACCGTCACAAACGCAACGTATAAGTTTATCACCAGACTTTTGTGGGCATCGTAGCCGAATCTTTCTTTGCTTCACTTTATTTTTCCTTCCTGTTTTTGTGGTGCTACGTATATATACAACCCTGACAGCTTAAAGCTTTCCCAGTTGCGGGACTCAATGACTTTACCTAAACAGCACCAGAAAAGAACGTGGCTTGTCATACTATCAAATGTCCCCTCGTCTGAGGTCTCGTTTCTCATCAGTGCACCTCGCAAACAATCTCATTGAACGCCACCAGATGCCCTCAAACGGAAGTAGAGAGGGAGATTGGAGGTACTACGAGAGGGCTGTGCCCATGGGACGCCGTCGAGGCGCTACAAGATTCTAAGAATAAAAGAGTTCTAGATCAGGCGGTATCCTGGTCAACGAGCACGACCAAAATTCGCCGGCGGTTGCAAAAGATCCCAGTTGCTGCGTAAATCCAGCAAAGCGGAGGCCCGGGTAAACTTCGATCTAAATCATAATAAAAAGTAAGCCAACGCACTAGCGGATGTCCTAGTCCGACTCGAAGCCACGCCCCGAATCTAGAGTCCCATTCTTGTACAAGTACGCTCTCTCCTGATCCACCTCACCGACCTCGGTAGCAAGCTCGAACATGCCAGCAGCACGAAGCGCCTCCAACTCTGGAGTTGCGACCGCCGCAATGTGTGGCTCATGTCCCAGCAGCCATGTAATCTGCAACAGCCCTGCGCTATCAACCGTCGCACGCGCTGTCGTAGTATTCTTCCCAGAAGATGACGGCAGACGGACAAGGATTGCAGCGAGGAGGAGTAGAATCGTTGATGCAACGGTGCCGATGATGAGCTGGGCATTTCGAGACGTTAGTATACGTGTACAAGCGTTAGTGAGTGATCGCGCGTACAGAAGTTAAACTGAGCTGAGAATGCCGCGCGAGGTCAGCTGGGGGTGGGTAAAGGCAGCATGAATGGCGTGCTCACGTTCAGACGGTACCTGGGGACGAGGACCATGATTGTCGTCTGACCAACCCCGCTGGCAGGCTGGGGCTGTTCCGGGACGATGACAGGAACGTCGTTGGATAGGAAAGACTGCATTATCCCGTTTGAAGCATGCGGGCCGGAGTAATTTTGGGTCTGGCCTGCGCATAAATCATCAGCGTTAAAGCACATGAATGCGACAGTACGACCAATCTGTTGTACGGACCATACCAGTGCACTGCGGCAAGAGCCTTGCCGATACTGTGGTTTAAGTCTGCGAGGGTAACGTTGGTGCGGTTCTGAGCAGCGATTTCAAGCTCTTCTGCTACGAAGCTAGCAAGGCGATAGCTGGTTAGCATGTCACTCATTATCAAAGAGGATGCCTACGTGTCAAAAGCGGCAGGTGCTTGGGTCACGAACTCCGGGTTTATGTTATACAAGTTATGCACTGGTGAGTCCTGTGGATTCATATAAAGCATTGGCTCGGCAATAGTAACGTTGAAAGAAGTGTCAGAAGCAGTGAGCGCTAGGACACTCCATATGGTTAAGTCGACGTCATTCTCATGGCCACTAGAGGGAGAAAGAGACGGAGTGTTCTGAGCCTGCAAGCCATGTTATATCAACTGCGTGCCCAAAGGCATGCTCGAACTACGGGACTCACCGCTATGAGACGCGGATCATCAATTGTTAAGTTCTCCGGCCACGAGAAAGCAGCCCATAGTGCCTCGGACGGTCTGGGAGGTGGAGCAAGCGGCTGCCGCGTCATCGCAGAGACATCAATCTGTGTATCGTTAATCTCCACCGCACAAGCGACCATCTGGATGGCAGTTATCAGCACTGCCGCCGAGGAGCGACACTTCAAGTTAGAATTATTGCAGTACAAAAAATGACATTTTTACTCACCTTGTGGCTGTTGCGGCGGTCCGTCTGAAGAAATGATAAAGTTCCCAACATCCTGTGCTTCCACGAATGGCATGGCGACCCAGGGGTTACCGGTCGAAGTTGGGACCCCCGCACCCGATGAGTCGATAATGGAGACGGTGGATGCGATTACGATTGGTGCCCAACAGTCTGTCTGGTCTTGATTCGGAGCGGTGCACATAGTGATGTTGGAGATAGTGCCAGCATATAATGCCTGATAGTCTGCGAGTGAAAAGTGTCAACGAACAGAATGTCGTGAAGAAAGACTAGATATACATGGCAGTTTTATTCCGATTGCAGCGCTCCCGGGGCCATCCGTGAGGAAGAACATTGTCGGTGCGGCAGTGTCGTCTATAATGTCCTCATACTGAACGTTCGGCAACGCCATGCATTGTACTTCATACATTGATGCGTTCACCTTGGCGTTCCCCGTAGCACTTGGAACTTGAGGGACAATATCATACACCATGTTGTCCAACAGTCCGACCGTCGGTATTTGGTCGTACACGAGCAGGATATCGTATGCGGACACCATGCTATTCGTGTCGAATGAGATCAGCGATACCACTAATTCACGATCCACGGAGCTCACTTTGCGGTGTAATTGGCGTTGGTAAGATTTGTCGACTGCAGTGTCGGTATCGTTGCGTTGTATGGCACGACATGGAAGAGACCCTGGATACTGATGTGTAGCGTGAACATGCAGAGCAAGTATAGAGTAATACACGATACGCCCCAGGTCGCGGCGCGCAGCTTAGTCTGTTGCCAGAGCGACCCAAGCGCTGACCCAAGACCGAGCCACGCTGATGCCTTGTCGTGGACGGCCGTCAGGGTTTGTCGAGTGCCGAGGTCATTTCGAAGGGCCAGGCGCTGAGTCAATAGCACGAGGATAGCACTGTATGCCTTGAACAGGAGCATAATCAGACGTAAAACATTCTGGGAGGAGTAGCAGAACTTACCGTCGCGAAGATCTGCAATGTTGTGCCCACAATGAGAGGAGCCCATGTAGAGGTGGAGCTATCGAGGCGTATCGTGAAGGCATGTTCGTAGTGGTGGGAGATAACCACAAATAAAGCTACGTGTATGAAAACAAGTAGAACATGCAGGGATAAGCAGAGGATCGTGTCGCGCTGGTTGTGGTGACTTTCGAGCCTACGAAGAACTCTCCCGCCTTGAGGCTCTGTAAGAGTCATCGCCTCCGAAATTTCTGCAATAGTGGGTATAGAATCTTGTGAGTCGTGAGGGGGGGCAGGCACCATGGTGAGAAAGCGTAAGGCGCGTTGGCCTGAAGCTCGGGGGAGGGGCATCCGCCTATGTAGCTTCGGCTCCTGCGGCGTCCCATCTGTTAGGAATGAAACGATCTCGTACCTTTGAATACTGCCGAGTCCCATCTATTAGGGGCATGATGGCCTATCTATTGTTGATTACCGCAGGGTCCATCTGTGCAACAGGACCCCAATGACAGCGAATGCTGATTCCGCTTGCAATGCGTCACCGCCAACATGCCGACGACATACACAGCACTCGGATTTCATTGGGCGGCGCCTATCATAGTCTGTGATGGACAAAAATGGAAGCTCGCAATAAAAATCCGGTTCTCGCTGGGCGTAATTGACAACAAGTGAGGGTGCATTCACTTACTATAGTATTGCGTTCACAGCTGTGCGCATTAGCACACTTTGGTGCGTTAACATACATGGTGATGCACAGCTGCGCACAAAAGTGCACGTACGTGCACTACCGACCATGTCAAACTCGCTATCATTTCCATCAAACTCGCTATCGCCCATGTCAAACTCACTGGGCGGCCATGACGGCAGTGCGCAAGCTTATTACAAAGTGCACCTTTGTGCACGCTGGTGCAAAATGTTGACAATCGCACAGCTAACTCGTATGATATATACTCATCTAGATACCCTTTGGGACACCAACGCGCAAGAAAGTGCACGTACGTGCAATCCGGCCTGTACGGTAGCGCTGATGCGAGTTCGAGATTTAAGCCGCCGCCCAGTTCCAGTATGACGACGTTGCACTTTAGTTCGCGCTCGTGCATGCGCGTGCACGTACGTTCATGTCTGTGCATCTGCGTGCATTTTTGGGCACTCTCAGGCAACGTGTTGCATGGGTGCTCACCTCCCAAATGAAAACATGTTTTTGCATGTTTCTAGTTTACGACATGCTGATTTTTGTCCATGCCCAACCTTCATAGGCACCTGCTAAGTTATGCTGGGGACTCGGACAAGCCGGGATGTTTTATTCCGGAAGCTTATATCAAGCCAAAGGAGACGAGTTGGAGAGCGACAGTGGCAGCTTCAACTGCTGAGCGCTGAGTACTTGGTACGTTGTGGTTCGAAGGCCCGTCGGCGCTATCCGGGTCGTTAACGCCCGGTGTTTTTTATGGTACCCGCCAGCGATCTGCCGCGGCTCGAACTTCAGCGTGGCGGCCTTGCGAACAGCGATACCGGCACTCGCGCAAAATATTCCCCATGTCGGGGTGCCCAGAAACGCAGCGGGAAATCACTCACTACCTGGCAAAGATGAGGGAAGTCCTCTAACGATAGCTCAAGATCCCAGTTTCTATTTTCATGTGGTGGGCTTCTGACTCTGCCCTTCAATCGAGCGTCCGTCTTACCATGCACTTTAACGTAAGCGAGAAGGATTGCTCTATCGCTATGTAACTTCGGTCACCGCAGGGCCCATCTGTTCGCGAGAAGACTTTGGTGACAGCAAGCGCTGATTTATCATCAACCGCCTTCAGTCGCTCGGTGTACTATCGCCAGCACGCACAGGCAGTGTTGATCAGACAGCATGAGGCCATATCCGAGGATCCTCAAGTTTCATCAGACTGCAAGGTCCAGCCGCGCAATGAGCACCCACGCATCCTTCTGCACACAGACGTCGGTCTGGGTCATTCATGGTGTCAACTGGGTCTTTAAATATTATCAAAGCATGTCTGCACAATGTAAGGCCGATCATGTGATAATCAAGCGCACAACTCTTCGATTATCTTTTCGAGCACCTAACCTTAAGCCATCCGCGCCAGTCACGTGATGTATCTACGTGCGCGCCCGTAACGGGCTGCTAG